TTTTCTAACAGCTCTGCCCTAGGAATCTCGTTGGGGCAGGTCTCTGGCCCCTGCTATCCAGGGGGTCAGACTAGATGATCACAATGGTCCCTCTGGCCATGGAATCTAGGAATCCATGGCCCCACTCCCCCTTTGCTGTTAACCCTTCCCTTCCAGAGTGTTGTGCAGCGCTCACCCAGCTGACAACCGGCTGGACTGTTTGCCTGGGTCTCTGGATGGGATTAATAGGGTGCCAGTCAATGATGCTGATGGATCGGCCCCACTCAGAGCCTGTGGGAGCCCAGCCCATGGCATGGCGGTGTTTCCATTCGCTCTGCTAAGAATAGGGTGACTGCCCTAGCCCCAGCCTCTTTGCCGTGAATTCCTTTCCTTTGTGTGCAGCTGCCCCACGCCCTTGCTGGGTCTGGGCCAGCTTCAGGCTCCTCTGGCCCTGCAGGGCAATGCTGGTGTCTGCCATTGTCCAGAGGTATCCCAGGAATGCAATGAAAAGAGAAGCCAGCTCCTGGGAAAGCAGCCAGAGCCACATCCCTCTGTGACAACAAACAGGCCGAGCCTCAGGGCAGGGACTGGCTTGAGCAGCGGGTGTATCAACACAGGCAATGCCCCAAGCTGCCCCCCCCCAGTGTCCCAGAGAGGGGCACCCTCCCCCCGGCCTTGCTGCCAGCCTGATGCAGCCAGATAGGGGAAGGCAAACAGATCTTAGTCCTCTGTGGCTCCCTGGCATGCTGAGTGCAGACCCCTGTGGCTGAGTGTGGGTGGCACAATGTTTATCTCAAACCCACATGGCTCAGAACCAGACTCTCCTGTCAGGGCAGCCCAGCCCCATAGCCAGCTCCTTTGGGTTCAGGCCAGGCTGTGGGGCCAGCTCCTTTGGGATGTAACGCTGCCCTTTCTGCATCTCGTGCCCTGCTATCAACCTGGCACTCACACTCTGCTTTGAATCTCTGCCCAGGGCCTTCCACATTTGCCCCTGCTCCCCTGAGCTCCTGGGGGAGGTGCGTGGCAGGCGCTCTCTGTTTGCAAAGGCTCAAGGGCTCTGCAGTCAGTTACAGATTAACTCCCTTCTTCCTCTGGAGTGAGTGTGGGGCTGGGGAGGGGATCCCCTGGGATCCAAGTGGCAGATTCTCAGGGTGGGAAAGGTTAGGGAGTCCTGGCTTCCCAGCTGGAGTAACTATTCTGTGCGGTGGATGGGGCAGGCTGGGCTAATCCATTCTCTCTCTGTGGCCTCTCAGGAGCGAACACCCCCACCCCCCACATACACACCTGCTGGGGGTTTTTGACTCCCAGATGCCATATCTTGAGCCTGGGGCTTTGGAGTGTGTTGTGCGGGGAAGAGACGTGCTTTCTCCCATGTGCCACCCACGTGGGGCTTGGCGAGTGAGGCATGAACCGTTCCTGATGAATTAACCATAACCCCACCTCTCCGCTGCCTGTTAATCCCCCTCTGGGACGGGCCGGTGTCCACACAGCAGAGTTCTCGCCAGCTGATTGCCCCCCGCCAGTCCAGGGGAGGGTAACGCGCACAGTCTGTCTGCCCCGTGACTCTCTGCCTCAGTGGGAGGAGAATCTCCCTGGGCCTGGCCTGCCAGCAGCCGGCTGGGCACATCCAGGCACGGTGGCATGGAGGGGAGGAGCCAGGTAACAGAGTCTGACCCTCAGAGCCGGAGGCGAAGTGCGTTAACACCATGGTATTTGGAGACAAAGGGGTGTTCACAGGCCTGGGTGCCCCAGCGGCCTCCCAGAGCAGTCCTGGGCTGCCTGTCTCAGCGCGCTGCCTCCTGGACCTGCCGAATCACCCAGATTGAGGAGCCTGAGTCTTGTCCTGTTGGTGCCATTGGCAGGAGCAGGCCCGACAAACCCGCAGGCCCTGCCCGGCTCCCTGCTCAGGAAGGTAAGTGGGGTCGCTCGCTCTAACATGGCCAGAGCCCTGGCGTCTGCCAGGAATCTCAGTGCTTAGAGAAGCAATCAAATAGCAGCAGTGTTCATGAATAACAATCCAACTGGCACTGTCCTGATCCCGCCAGGGGCCTCTGGGCACTGCTACGAGCTGAATAATTCCTACGGCTCCATTGCTACAGCCGCTGCTCTGCCCTTCCCCCAGCAAACACCCACACATGTGGTCAGCCTCCCCTTAGCCACACGCAGGTTTCCCACTCTTCCAGCTGGGCTCACTCTGGCATAGGGAGGCAAAGTGACTGGGAGGGGGAGTTTGCCTGTCATGGCCCCATCCCTTGAGTGCCATCGGTAGCTGGCGTTTCCTGCCCACTAGGCCTGGCCCTGTCTGGGCAGGATTGTCCGTCTCTGAGAGGAGACGCAGGTAGAGCCCAGACTGTTGGGACAGGGCGGCAAGCTGGCGTTTACACTGCTGCCTTTGTCTGTTGAACAAAGACAGCCCCCACCCAGCCATCAGCCGCTCCTTCCCTGACAGCAGCTAATCGCCCCAGAGGCACATGGCAATTAACTGAGATTAAAGGGACCTGGCAATTTACAGCCCTGGCTGCATTCAGAGGGTGACTGAGCCCAATCAAGAGCCATTTCATTAGTGAGGAAGGTGGGGCGAGGGTGGGTGGGTGTCACCCTGTGCTGAGCAGCCCTGCCCTGGTGGGAGACCAGACAGGAATTCACGCTAAATTACAGATCCAGGGGCCGCCTCGGGCCACTGGCCAAGTCACTGGCAGGACGGCTCCAGCCCAGGGCTCTCCCACAGGGGCTGGCAGATGGGAGCAGAAGCTCTGGCTGCCTCAGTGTCCTGAACGCTCGCGGGCAGGGTGTCACTGACGGACCACAAAGGCCTTTCTGGGCCTAGGTTGGGGTGGCAGCCAGTGTGCTGTAAAGTGACCCCCACCGCGGGGAGGGGGGTGGTTCCAGGGACCAGTGAGTGGGGAGGCCAGTGCCAGGACCTGAGACCCAGGTAGCTTGAGGGGGGAGCTCAGCCCTAGGGTGGGCTGGGAAAGGTTAGGGCATTGCCCACAATGGTACCCAGGCTCAGCAGCCCTGCGCCTGGCGATGAGCTGTGCTGCAAGCAAGCAGAGGGAGCATGCACGGGCCTGCAGTGTGGAGCGTGGCTGGCTGGTCCCCTGCTCTTTGCTACAAAAGTCAGTTCCTAGAGAGAAGAGGCTGTGAGCTGCCAGAGGCACTTGCAGTTTAAAGCCGTCTCTCCATCAACCTTAACCTATGGACATGGATACAGCAGGACAGGACCTCTGTAACTGGGCTACGCCCTGGGGCATCAGATCCCATCTGCATGGCAGTTTGGATGGGGTCACACACCGTCCTAACTCGATTGCAGTGCAGCTGGGGAGAACAAGTGCTGTGGGCAATTGGCAGCTCAGTGCAGCAGGTGGGCTGGGCTGGGCTGGGCTCAGGAGCGCCAGGGCAGCACGTAGACAGCTCCCAGTAACCTCAGCTTCCTGATTCAGCATTTTGTCAGTGATTTGCAGTGTCAGACAGAGCACAGGATTGGGTTAGGGTGGGGCCGAGGTTGTTTTAGGTCTCAGATGAGTCAGGCACCCCCTGGAAAAGGGCTGGGCTGAGGGATTGCACCACTCACTGATCTCACCTGCCCTCTGCAGGAATGGTAAATTGCTGAAGTCCCCAATGGGCTCATAACCCCCAGGGGGCCTTGGTGGTGTTGCCAACCTCAGCCGCCGCCAAACCAGGAGTCAGGCCCCAAAACTCAGGAGAATGGCTTAAAACTCATGAGTGTGTGGGTCTCTCTCTGTTCACCTTGTGTCAGATTCAGGGCACATGCTCACACTCCTCTGCGACCAGGACAGCTCGAAACTTACTGGAAAAAAACAACAAACCCCTATGGGATTCTCACTAATCCCCTGACTCCAGGGGCTGGGGCTCTAACAACACCCCAAAACCTGCAAGACTCGCCAGCCAATCCCCAGAGCTGGCAACGCGCACTGGCCAGGACTGGAGTGCCCGGAAACAAGCTGGCAAAGGGCAGGATCCCAGCACTGCAGAGTGTTAGCTGTTTTGAGATTTTAAAGCCAATCTCATGAATTTTGGGGCCTGACTTGTGACTTTTGAACTGTTGGGGTTGGTAGCACCTCCGCCGGGGGCATCGCTGCCTGAGCCCATCTTCCCCCAGCTCTGGCACTGGGGCCATGGGGGGGCCCTCCCTGGGAGCTGTGGGGCACCTTCCATGGGTGCTGGGAGCTGTGGGGCACCTTCCATGGGTGCTGGGAGCTGTGGGGCACCCTCCCTGGGAGCTGTGGGGCACCTTCCATGGGTGCTGGGAGCTGTGGGGCACCCTCCCTGTATATCTCTAGTACCCTGGGGCCATTAGCACCCTCGTGGTGCCCCCAAGCGCCCGGGGCTCCGCACCCCGCTGTTGTGAGCGGCCACGGCTCTGCTGCCTCCCGCCCCCTGCAGCGATCCTGGGCGAGATCCGCAGCGAGGGGTCCCCAGTGCGGGGAACGCGGCGGAATGTTCCTCCGCGGCCGCCGTAGTGGAGCCCGGAAGCGTCTCCATGGAGATGGGGGGAGCCGGGCCGGGGCTGGGGGGTGATGGAGAAGTACGAGCGGATCCGGGTGGTGGGGAGAGGAGCTTTCGGGTGAGACACCCCCTCCCGGCACCCGGCATTGCCCCCTCCCGCGAGCCCGGGGGCGGCAGCGCTGCCACGTGGCATCTGGGGGCGGGACACCCCGGGCTGAGCCCCGGTACATGGTGATGCGGCAGCTCCCCCCCCCCCGGGGCAGCCAATCAGGGACCGGGAGACAGGAGGGAGCCCTGGGGCAGATAGCGGAGCGCGGGGGATGGGCTGGGGGCAGATAGCGGATTATGGGGGATGGGCTGGGGACAGATAGTGGAGCGCGGGGGATGGGCTGGGGGCAGATAGTGGAGCGCGGGGGATGGGCTGGGGCAGATAGCGGAGCGCAGGGGATGGGCTGGGGGCAGATAACAGACCATGGTCTGCTAGGCCTGGTGGGAGGCCCGTGTTTCTCACCGATAAAGCTCCTGGGGCCGGACATCTAGAGCCGACCATCTTAGTCCAAAGGAACTGGGGATGCGTAACTGGAGCAGGGCTCACAGTTAGTGTCTTCATAATACTCTGCATCGCTAACTCAGTGCACTGCCTTCGGAGAGGTGGGGAATCACTATTATTCCCATTTTACTGCTGAGGAAACTGAGACCAGGTGTGAGTTGCCTAGGCGCACGCAGGAGGACAGTGTCAAGGTTGGGGAAGGAGCCCTGGAGTCCTGTGCTCTAAACACTTCATTTATTTCCTCTTGTACTTTGGGGGAGGGGTGGAAGTGGGGACCAGGCCCCCAAAATGGTTCCTGTGTTGCTTGTGTCTCTTGGGTTTTTGGACACGTGCATTTGGCAAACATCTGGTGCTGTTTTCCACTTCACATCACTTGTTCTGGCTCTAGGCCTGGTCACCCCTTTCCTTGTTTAGTTACTTCCCATCCCATCTCTTGCATGGCTGGTCTCCCCTCTAATGCAGACTGTCCTTGCTTTGTGCTATTACAGAATAGTGCACTTGTGTCTGCGCAAGGCTGACCAGAAGCTAGTGATCATTAAACAGATCCCTGTGGAGCAGATGACGAAGGACGAGCGGCTGGCGGCACAGAATGAGTGCCAGGTGCTGAAGCTACTGAATCACCCCAATATCATTGAATATTACGAGAACTTCCTGGAAGACAAGGCTCTTATGATTGCTATGGAGTATGCACCAGGTGGGACACTGGCTAGGAGGGGCATGGGCTGGGGATAGAGCTTCTTGGATTCCCCAGTGTAGTTGGATCTGGGTGAATGAGCCTCTTTAGGGAGTGCCTGACTTAAATATCAGCAACTGAGTGGGTTGGTTTACAAGGCATCCATAAAAGCAGGGGGCTGCATGCTCTGTGAAGGTGAGGAGAATCCAGCAATGTCCCTGGTACTTGAGACAGGCCTGCCTTTTGTTTGGCAAGGCTGTTTCCCTTGGAAGAGGTGCTCACTCCTGTCCTTTGTCACCTATTTCCTTATCTTGAAGCGTATCCCATGTAAGGCTGTTGTGGAAATGGTTTGGAGGTCCCCAGGATAACATAAGCTTGTTGTTCAAAGGGACCTGGCCATGTTGAAAATCCTGTTCTTTGAAAACATTTTAAAATACATTTGCATTATTAGCATTGCCAGCGCTTATCCCAACGGAAAGGGTTTTAAAAATAGCTTTTTCATCACTGATCTGTGTGTTCCCTTCTGCTCTTCACTTGGGGGTTCTGTCCGTTTCCCTTCTGTTTGTTTTGTCCGCTTCCCTTTTGGGCAGCAGTGTTGGAGCAGTAGAGCTGCCTGGAGAAGTGTCAATTCAAACAAACACATGATTTGCCTTGCCATTTTAAATCAAGAAAACATTTACGTTAGGGTTTGTAAAACTGCTTCATATAAAACCTGAATTCTGGGCTTGCATTACATGACAGGGCCCCTTTCAATAGCATGCGGGTACTTTAACAAGGGGAATTTCCCTACGCAGAACAGGCTTATCTTGTTCTCCCATTGACATTTGCTTCCCCACAGTGCTCTGATATGTATGGTTTTAGCACATTTCTTTGTCCTGCTGAGCCCTGGAGGCAGCACTGCCATTGACAGTGTGGTGCTAACTTTAACCCCTCTGCTGCTGGTCCTGCATCCCATGTGCTGTGCTGCGAGTGTTCTCTTTACATTCAGAGAATGCGTGGTATGCTCCATTGGCGCACTGTATGACTTTGGACATCCTTGGCTCATTCAGCAGCAATTGTGTGGTTAAGATACTGTGACTCAATTCCATTACTTTTGGTTAAGATTATGCCAGCCCTGGTAAACTTCCTTTGCTGATGGCCCTTCTGCCCTTTGCCATCCATCCCAGGTGGCACCTTGGCAGAGTTTATTCATAAACGTTGCAACTCCCTGTTGGACGAAGACACCATCCTGCACTTTTTTGTGCAGATCCTACTGGCCCTTCATCATGTTCACACCAAACAGATCCTGCACCGGGATTTAAAGACTCAGAACATTCTGTTGGACAAGCACCGCATGATCGTCAAGATTGGAGACTTTGGCATCTCAAAAATCTTGAGCAGCAAGAGCAAAGCCTACACGGTGCGTATCTGCTGAGAGTTCTCAAATTTCCGAGGTCTGGGGGAAGTTCTTTCCATCTGATCTGATCTGTTTCTGTGCCTCCGTGTGGGGAGAATGGGCCTGAGATTAGGTTGCATCAGCGATTGTGATTTAGATTTTGACAAGTCAGTAAATAATCAATATTACTGCTAATCTTTCCGCTCTGTGGGTGTCTAACTCTGGTTAGCTCACTGATGTTAGGGTAGCAGTGAAGACACAAAAACAAGAAGATTAACAGATTTATTTGGGCATAAGCTTTCGTGGGTAAAAAACCTCACTTCTTCAGACGCATGGAGTGAAAGTTACAGATGCAGGCATTATATACTGACCCATGAAGAGAAGGGAGCTGAGAACCAGTGCTGACAAGGCCAATTCAATCAGGGTGGATGTAGTCCACTCCCAATAATAGATGAGGAGGTGTCAAGTTGTGGATACAGACTAACACAGCTACCCCCTGATACTTGGCACAAGTGAAGACACAGCAACTCCGCTTTTAACACAAGCTAGTAGCTGGAGTTCAACCCCAGGCTGCCCTATAGGCTTTAACTCGAGCTGTTAACCCGAGTTAAAAGCTGAGTGGGTACATCTTCACTGTTACTTTAACCCAAGATAAGAACAGATCTTCTTGTGCAGTGTAGACATACCCTTAATCTCCCTTGATAGCCTGTCTTGCTGCAGTCATGAAAATTATTCTGTCAGTTCCTCTCTCTCTCATTTCCATAGTGTCTGAATGCCTTCCAATAGTGCATTAAAACAACTGTCACATGTGGCTTGTTCTTGCTCTCCTCCTTGTCCCCAGGGGAGCATTGTGTGTGGTGTAGATTGGTTCATTTTGGTAGGGCTTTGTTGTTGTGTGTTGTTTTTTATTTTAAAATATCCCTGCTGCTGTGTGTTTGTGCTGGAGAAGGCTGGTTGGAGGCAGGTGCCTGGCACTTGCAGCGGGAGGGGATGGGGGGTGTTGGGATGATCCGTAGTTCCTGGGGAGGTTTGTTCCACAGTCTGGTACTGGCCTTGTGGAAGTTCTTCCTCCTGCACAGACCAGCTTTGCCCTTGGGGTAAAAAATCCCACTGTTCCAGAGGGGTGGAGTTGTTGACCACAGTCCTCATCCTGAAGCTTTAGGCTCCTAGATATGTTGGGCCCAAGCCACTGAGCACCTTGAAGATAAGGACTGAGTCCTTGTACTTGACTCTTAAGCTGCAGAAAGGCAGCGCAGAGAGTGGTGGACAGGCCTGCCGGGCTTGTGATGGCCCGTGGTGCTGAGGAGACTCACTGTGGCACCCTGTACTAGCTGGAGTTTCCTGAGGCCTGTTGCCTTTGTGCCCAGGTGCATTGCATTGCTGTAGTCCAGATGGGATGTGACAGAGTCTTGGATAACCAAGGTTAGGTCACAGTCCAGCAGGCTGGGATGGAGTCTCCTAGCCAACCAGAGATGGTAGAAAGTGCTGCTATGTGAGAGGTTAGCACCAGAGAGCCTCTTCTGAGACCGGGCTGATATGGCACACGTTTCTTGGTGGCTGAATGTCCTGTCTTTTCTTTTTTAATCTTCTCTCTGCCTGATACCTCAGTATCTTTCCCCATCTAAGCTGATCTGGTTGGCATCACTAAGTGATCTGAGCCCCTCAGTTGGCTAGAAGTCCACATTGGAGCTAAGTGCTAAATGGGAGAGGGAGCCATGCTCTAGTAGTGGAAGAAACGGTAAATCCTCTAGCAATTTTATCATGGGAAGATCATCGGCCAGTAATCAATAGCAGGGAAACTAACGCCCCTCCCAGTTCGCCTAGAACTCTGGCTCCTTTGTGCTGTAGTCAAGTCATTTTTGTAGTGGGTGTTGATCTTTAGCTCTCCTTGCCACGGTTCTGGACTCGGAGTGCCATCATGCATCTGTGCCTCTTTCTCTTAGGTTGTGGGGACTCCGTGCTACATCTCCCCGGAGCTGTGTGAAGGGAAACCCTACAACCAGAAGAGCGATATCTGGGCGCTGGGCTGTGTGCTTTACGAACTTGCCAGTCTCAAGAGAGCCTTTGAAGCTGCAGTAAGGCTGGGGCCTGGGGTTTTCTTAAAGCAGAGACGTGAATTCCAGAAACACGTCCACATTGGGCTGTGCCTACTGCATTCCCACAGAGCCTGCAGTGCTCTTCTCTAAGACCTTGCATTGCTCCTGACGTTTCCTGCCTCTCTGCCCATGCAGCAGCCAGGGTTCTGCTAACCATGTGTGTCTATCTTCCTTCCATACTCTCCAGAACCTGCCTGCCTTGGTGCTAAAGATCATGAGTGGGACATTTGCTCCCATCTCAGACCGATACAGCCCAGACCTGCGCCAGCTCATCCTGAGCATGCTCAACCTGGACCCTTCCAAACGGCCCCAGCTGAATGAGATCATGGCCCAGGCCATCTGCATCAGGCCACTTCTGAACCTTTACACTGATGTGGGCAGTGTCAAAATGAGAAGGCAAGTGGTGCTGCTGCGCTCATCTCTCTGGGGCCTAGCCATGGGAGGGAATGGGGATGGAGAGGCTGCCACAGCTCCCAGGAGGTCTCTGAGAGGGTCAGTTCTTTTCTTGGTTGGAGCTAGGAAGGGACACTGACCAGCTGTGCTTGTGGTACGTGCATACAGGCTAACAGGACCCAGGCTCATGCCCAGCACAGGTGGGGGCTCAGGAGATGGTGCATTGCTGAGGGGCTGTCACTGGGAGGACAGGTTCACCTCCGGTCTCAGGAGCTTGCTGGATGGTGTGGCACTTGCTCACTCACCCTTACCCTGGGGCCAGCATGACCTCACACAGGCCATGGTGCTGTCAGAGAGCCAGCCGGCCAGTCTTAAAGAGCTGTCCCCAGGAAACTGCCCTGACTCTGCCTGCACCAGGCCATGCTCAGCAGTTCACTCTGCCCTAATGATAAAGCTTCCCTCTCCTCTGTGAGCCCAGTGCTAATGCTGGCCAGGCTGTCCGAGTGAACAGACAGAAGTTGTGCATTTCCGTTTGACAGGCCTGAGAAGCCATTAGCTACAGTGCCACCAGTGACCCACAACAGAGCGGGAGGAAGAGTGACCAGTGCCAGACCCAGGGGTAAGGCCGGGCATGGTGTATTCAGCAGAACTTCATTTCAAAGGAGAATCCTTTGTATTGACCATTAGTGGCATCCTCTGCCAGATGAAACTCAGGCACTTCACACCCTAAATCCCCTTCCTCGGAGAACCTGTACTCCAGCCCCAGGCTGGTGGGACCCAGGAGCTAGCCAGTGCTGCTTCTAGATCAGCCCCTTCAGAGGCTTTCCTGCCCTTGCCGTCTGGAGCCTGAGTTCCCCTGTGCTGCAGCGCACCCAGGCTGGGAATGGAGAGTCCCTGGGTGATGGTTTGACAGCTAGAGCTGTAGCAGCCCATCTACCCTCTGCAAATTCTAGAGTAGAAGGCTACTTTCCCCTCCTCCTGCTGGCATCGCCCTGGCGAGCTGCTGTGAGCAGCCTTCCCTGTAGCCCCTGGTGAGCCTCAGACAGAGGTCCCAGGCCCTGTTCTTGCCAGCTCATTTAGCCCCTCTGTCTAACTGGGTGTTGTCCTCCACTGCGGGTGGGCATCTGCATCGTATGGCTAGGGTCACTTGCTTGCCCATTATAGCTTGGCTGGGGGGTGGCAAGCTGGGGTGATGGTATTTCATTTGGACTCCTAGGTGTTCGAGTTCACTCAGCCAGGACTGGAATCCCACCTCCCCTGTCTTCCATCTACACCTGGGGCAGCGGAATCACCACCCCGCTCCGCCTGCCCATGCTCAACACAGAAGTGGTGCAGGTTTCTGCAGGGAGAACCCAGAAGGCCGGCATCACTAAATCAGGGAGGCTCATCATGTGGGAGGTGAGCAATGGCAAGCAGGCGGCAGCCAAGGGCAATAAGCCACTGTCAGCAAAGGGGCTTGGGCAGAGGGTCTCAGAGGAGGAGTGCAGCCTGCTTCCAGACATGCCATGGCCCCACATCCCCCCCCAGTGAGCAGGCAAATCCCTGGCTGCTCCTGGTGACCACTGAGGCTGGTGGGGGTGGGGGTGGGATTATTGCCCCTAACTTGTTCTTTTCACCCAAGCCCAGCTGCAAGCGAAGTGCATTTCAAACCCCTTTGGCTTCTCCCTGCCAGGCTTCCCCAATGGGTGCCACTGGAGGCCCCTCCCTCCCAGGGGCCACAGAGCAGCTCCAGCCTCAGTTTGTGTCCCGCTTCCTGGAAGGCCAGTCCGGAGTGACTATCAAACATGTGTCCTGTGGTGACCTCTTCACAACCTGCTTGACAGGTATGGATGAGAGCTGTGCTGCCCCCCTGCACGGATGGAGAGTTCCCAAAGCAGCCCTGCTGACGGGGCATGCCCAGCAGGGCTCTAGTCCCAAAGTCCATGTGCCAGAGACCCTTCCCAAATTCAGTGAGTCTTTGTGAGCCCCCTGCAGGGCCGCGTGTCCTCAGCAGCACCCGGGGAGACAGGGTCTGAAAACTCCATGAAAGCATCTTCGAAGCTGTGTTTGGTCTGAGCTGCCTGGCTGAGCGACATCAGCGTGGAATGTGCACTGTTTGCACAGTGAGGTTCTTCTGATGGCCCGTGGGGAGCCGTGTGTGTTTGCAGTTCTGCTGGGGATCAGGGGAATAAGTGACAGATTTGCAACTGGCAAACTTCAAATGTGTGTGTTTGTCCTATCTCTGACCATGCTTCCTGCTGGCCCTGGGCTGGGTGGCTGGTAAACGAAGGGCTCTGTGTGTTTAGCACCTCTCCAGACTGTTGAATGAGAAACTCCTGCGTACACAGCTGGAATAATGTTATCTCAGTGCTTTGCCCATCATCCCGTTTGTGTTAGTTCTTGTTGGGTGACTTGTCCCAGCACATTTATGGCTTCTTCTCTCAAGAATCCTGAGCCCCATCTAAACTACCCCTCCTGTAGTATCCCCCTAGCAGCTAGCCCAAGGCATCCGTGTGGGATTTGCAGCGTCTGCCAGCCAGCGAGGGCTCCCAAGGGACGCTGGGACTGCTTGGATGCTGTGGTCTGTGGCCTAGCTAGTACCCAGGGCTGTGTGGACCCACAGCTTATCATGAATGGCTGTAACATGGCTTTATTTTGCTTTTCCAGACAGGGGGATAATCATGACTTTTGGCAGTGGCAGTAATGGTTGTTTGGGGCATGGAAACTTCACTGATGTAACACAGGTTTGTAGTGTAAGGAATTGGGGACACCGATAAATACTGAATGTCACGTGGTCCAGCTTCTCCCTGGCCCTGAGCGGACTTGCAGCAGTCCTGCTGTATGCATCCAAATGACGCTGGCGGGCTCTGGAACCGGATCCTTTCCCTTCCCTCCCCCCAGCTCTGTTCTGCTGCTTTTCAGCCTGCTTCTCCCTCCCCATTTGCACAAAGATGTCTTTGAATGTGGGGTTGCAACATGCCGAGGGAAGTCGAGAGCTGCCTTGTGGTTGCTGTTGGCTGGGGCCCAGACTCTGCCGCTGCTTCCAATCACACACCTGGCTGTTTCAGTCTCAGCCCTGCAGCTGCTGCGGTTCACTGGGAAACTTGTTTTTCAATAGAGCCAGTGTTCAAAGGAGAGCCACGCGTCCCGGATTGGGACAAAGTGCTGGAGCTGTAAAGGCACTCTCCTTTCCCCCTCCTCTCTCTGGGCTGTTTCCCAGCCCACGCTGGCTGGCTGGTGGCGATAGCATGTGAAATCCAGCCAGGGATGAGGGTTTGGGCCTGTTTGTCTCTGTGCTCCCTTGCACTGCTTCGTTGGGTGTTATCCTCTGGCTTCTGCTTGAGAGCTGTGCACACCTCCCATTTGCTGCTGTGGAGGAGCGTAGATTGGTGGCTCAACCATATTTAAGCAAATGGTGCTTTTCCCTGAGAAGATTGAGGAGGATGAGGCCCATGGGAGGGATGTGTCAGATCTGACTCTATCACAGCAGGGAGAAAACAAGGTGAGGAGATAAATGGGGAATCTCCATCCATCTGCCTCATGGGAGAGTTAGCTAGTAGTTTCCGTGCAGTGCCCTGGGTGTGGATCTTTCCGATGAAACATTATAACCAAGTTTTGCCTGCTTTGCATGGGCTTTTGTCACAAGAGTAGAGATTTGCCCTGCTGCCTTTGTCATAACGTTTCCCCTCCCCAAACTGTTGTGCTAGTTGGTTGTCTGGCAGCTGTCATTTACCCCAGAGCTGGCTGCATTTTCCTTTGTGCTGTATATACATAGTTTGTAAAACACCTTTAAGATCCCTTGGGACAAAAGGTACTACGGAAATGTAAATATTGTTCATATAGGGTAAAACCTGGGATAGGAACTAGAATATCCATGGAGCTCTGCTCCTTGCCTTGCCTTTCTGCAGCGCCCGCCGGGTAGGCAGATCTGCTGTAGTAAGGTGTCAGTCAGTGAGCTGATGGGGAAAGGGCGTAGCTGACTAATGCTGTTCTTTTCTCTACCAGCCTAAGATCGTGGAGGCGCTGCTGGGCTACGAGATTGTGCAAGTGGCATGTGGCGCGTCTCATGTGCTGGCCATTTCCAATGAACGGGAAGTGTTTGCCTGGGGCAGAGGGGACAATGGTAAGGGGATTTTAGCTGCCACTGCTTAGCATGATCAGGGGTCATTTTCTCTCCCCTTTGGCTTCCCCAGTCCCTACTGATCTCCCTGTGTGCACTGTTTGGAAGGTAACTGTTGTGTGAAACTGACTGGGGTTGGAGCAGCCAGCAGTTCCCCACAGCCAGGGTGCCTGCCCCCTACACACAGTGCCCCCTGCTGGGTGTGTCCCGCATCCAGGCCCCTGCAGTCACCGCTCTAGATATTGTTACTCGGGGAAATGCCTTTGGTTTGTATTTTGACACAAAACGTCTCTTTAAACAATTTCTTTTGCCCAGGTCGGCTTGGGCTGGGAACTCTGGACTCCCACAATTCTCCCCAGCAGGTAGCTGTTCCGCCTGAACACGAGGCTCAGAAAGTCCTTTGTGGTATTGACTCCTCCATGGTCCTGACGGTGAAGAACCAGATTCTTGCTTGTGGGAGCAACAGGTAAGACAAGAGGGATGTTTCCCTGCCTTCTGGACCAGCGGTGTCACCCCATCAGATCAGCCCAGGGCCCATCTAATTCAGTGTCCTGTCTCCAGCAGCGCAAGAAGCTCAATAATGGGTATGTCTCTGGAGCTGCAATCAGCTCTGGTGTAGAGCAAGAATGTGCCCTATAGCATAGTCATCCCTTGGCGTCAGTGCAGCTAGCCCGCGATGGCTTTGGCCCAAGGCATCCTGAAGAAGTTCCGTCTATAATATGTGATCAAGTATCAGGAGGTAGCCGTGTTAGTCTGTATCTACAAAAACAACAAGGAGTCTGGTGGCACCTTAAAGACTAACAGATTTATTTGTATATAATATGTGATGTTTGCTCAGCCCTGGGACTGCTCTCCTCATGCAGGTTTAACAAGCTGGGCCTGGATAAGATTGCGGAGCAGGGGGAGCCGGCCCTGGGGGATCAGGTGGAAGAAGCTCCCACATTCACGTGTGTCCAGTCAGGGCCCTTAAATCAAGAGCCGGTGGTGTGTGCAGATATTGGAACAGCCCATTCGGCTGCAGTCACAGGTGAGGAGGTGGCCCTGGGAAACCTGCACTGGGAGGGGTAATGTGGGGGGACACTGCTTTCCCCCATATGGTTTGGGTTCCAGACGGCACGTCAGCCTGGGAACCTTTGGGGCTGTGAGGGCAGTGCGCTCAGTGCTGTGAAAGACACTGGAATACTGGCCTCTTACGGTGCCATCTTGCTGCTTTCTGACCAGGTGAGCGTCGCTGACTCCTCATTTCTGTCTTCCCCATTGACAGCTTCTGGCCAGTGTTACACCTTTGGCAGCAACCAACACGGGCAGCTTGGCACCAGCACCTGCCATACCAGCCGTGTGCCCTGCCTGGTTGTGGGACTCCAAGCGATTAAGGTCACCATGGTGGCTTGTGGCGATGCCTTCACTGTGGCCATTGGAGCAGGTGAGATTGAAGCCCTGGTGTCCTGGGCTGCAGCAGTTCCTGGCTTTCTTGAGCTGTTAGCCAAGGAGTCAGTGCTGCTGGTGAGTTAAGCCTTGCTCTGCTCCAGACTGCAGGCCCACCATGCTTCGTATGGCCGCTCTGAGAGGGACATGGGGGGCACACTTGTTCTGCTCGGCATGGCACTCTGCTCTGTAACTTGAGACAGGAGGGTCAGCAGAGCTCATGGTCAATCTGGGAGAAACCGTCTGTAGCCAGATGTCTCCTTTCCAGAGGGAGAGGTGTACACCTGGGGGAAAGGAGCCCGCGGGCGCTTGGGAAGGAAGGATGAGGAGACCAGGACTCCAAGGCCTGTGCAGCTGGAGGAGACCCACCCCTACCTGGTGACCTCTGTCGCCTGCTGCCATGGGAACACACTGCTGGCAGTGAAACGTGAGTATAGGGTTCTTCGCCACAGCTGTTCTTGCTGCGAGCTCAGGTGACCTAAACTGAAGCCCTGCCTGGCGCCCTAGAGGGGTCATGCCCGGCAGCGCTGCGGGGGCAGAGTGTGCTTAGCCAGCTGTCAGCCCCCGCTGCCCTCTGATCTCTCCTGGCTAATTACACTGTGTGATTTGGGGGACACAAATGCTCTATTGCTCGTTCCATGCCTGCTGGGCCACAGATCCTTGGGATGCCCCTGCCTGTCGTGGCATCATTTTGACTTGCCTCTGGACTGAGCCCCTCCAGATTTTGCCACTCTGGGATTTCCTTCGGGGAAAGCAGGGTGCTGCACTGTCTAGCTGGGGTGTTCCATTGCTCTTCCTTAGGCCAAATGCTAATAACCAGGGAATCCGACACATTTGCAATCTGGATTTACTCCTCTCCAGTGAACCCTGGCCCCACAGAGCACCGGGACAGCCTCCACTGCAATGGGTCCCCGTCAATCCGGACGTCCTGTACCAAGTGTTTACAGTGTCTGCGCTTTGGGGATTGGTCACAGGCTGGAGACCTATTCCTGAGCTGGGAGTGCCGCCTGCAGCACCCTCTGGAGTCACTGAACACTGCTCCATGCATCAGCTAGTGGAAGGGGGGGAGCACATGAGCTCCTGAGTGGTGCAAAGCCCACTCGCCCCTGGTTGGAGCACCTCTGCAGCTCTTCCCAGTGCCTACCTGGCCAAGGGCCCCCCTGTTGGTTCCCAGCTGGCTGGTTTCTGGAATCCATGGTGACTTCGCTGAAATCAGAACAGCCCCAGGCAAAGCACAGAATCCATCTCTCTTGTGTGCTACACCCCATAGCTGCTGTAGTGATATTGAGCCAACCCAGCAAAGCAAAGAGCAGTGGGGGAAGGAGGAGCCCCTTGGATTCCTAATGCCATCCTGCTATGGCTGGTCAGGGAAAGCCTGCAGGGAGCTGCCGTGCTGGTGGCCATGTTTATGGAGCCAAAGCATTTCCCAAACCAGCCGCTTTCAGAGCAATTGAATTTGCCTAAATAGAAACTGAGATTTGAGGCATCGTTTTGGCTCCTGGATCTTCTCTGTGGTTTGATAAAAATAGCAACGGCCTGTGGCTTCTCTTCCCTCGGTCTGAAGGAAGCATCATTACGTGGTTCAAATAAGCCCACATTCGGACCTGCCCTTCCTGTGCCAGGGTACGTGAAGGCAGCCTGGGTCAGCACATCGGTGGGTCTGCTCGTACCCCTGCAGTGTGGACTCTGGCTTTTCCCTTTCCCCGTCCCCTGCTAGCTGGCTAATTGTCCCCAGCAGGGAGGAGCTTCTAGTTCCCTCACGCTCCACTGGGCACCTTGATTAAGCGTCAGAAAACATTCTTGTATCTGTATCGATCCAGCCTAAGTCTGTATCTGCCTCCCCCCCTGCCGTCCCATCTGAGCGCCTCACAGTCTTTCCCTGATTTATTGTTGAACCCAAATGCATAACATTCAGGATCGTGAATTGAGCCACCAAAATGTTGCGTGCAAACGGCGCCCAGCCCTGCCCTGCTCCGTGGGTCCCAGAGTGCAGGTAGCATGGAAAGCCCACAGAATGAGTTGGTTCGAACTGTTGGTTTGGAAAGCTTTTCCCAGAAGAGAGAACCTGTCTGAACCTTATGCTTGTGGTATAGCCCTAGTCCCCCGACACGGGGCGTACGAAAGGCCCATCACTAACAAGCACTTCTGTGCTGAGGACACAGTGGTTCCTTACTGCCCCAACCTGTCCTTCTCTCTTGGTCACCATTCAGTGCAATTTCTTTCCAGCATTTGGCGTCTGCTCCCTGGCTGCAGCTGCCTGGGACTGGACCAGTGCCTGCGACCCGCTTTGCTGTGAGCTCTGTACTGCAACCTGCTGCTCACTCTAGTCAGACCTCAGCAGTGCAAACCTCCGTGCCGAAGCAACCCCAGTCAGGAAGGGACCACTAATGAATTAACAATGAGAAGTGGGAGCCTGTCCAGCGGCACAGAACTCCTTTGGAGAGAGTCTCTCTTCCCCTTCGGGGCTAACCCAGTGGGGGGAGAAAGGGGGGCACAGACCTCAAGGAGTCACTGTTTCTTTACCCCCCAGAAGACCCTTTAGAATCAACATGAAGACAAAGGGACTCTCTGTTAATCCTTTAGCACCAGTGCACATGGCAGTTTCGATGCCAGCCCCACGCCCTCTGCTCTGTGTACTAATGAGAGCCTCACAATGGCTTCCCGGGGCAGCCAGAACCACAAAGCCTGTCAGCCTGATTATTGGCTTGGTAGCCACAGGATGCTGCTGATTTTAGCCCCCCGGTGGAGTGCTCTATTGGACACTTCGCCTGCGTTTATCCCTGGTTTCTGCCCTTTGTGTTTCAGCTGCAGGGGAAGAGTCGGGCCCTCAGTGAGGAACGGGCTGAGAGGAGCGAACTGCACCGCCTCCATATGGACATAGCCAGCTTCCTTCTGATCTCCTGACCTGCATGGCGCACATATCCTCCCCTGCCTGCCTCCATGTTACTCAGGCCTGGAGGACGGGGCTCTGGAGTGCTGGGGCAACACCATGGGCTGCATTGGTGCTTGCCAGGAGCCGGAGAACACCTGATCTATAGAGAATGGAATGCACAGAACTGATGCCCTTATCGTTAATACAGAGATGTCAAGCCACTCAGATCAACAGGGGTCACTGCATGCTGGAACCTGAAGCCTCCCCCAGGACATTGCCCCATGGAGCAGCACCTGCTGGGACAGGCCACATCTCTCCATCAAGGATGAAGGGTGATCATGACCTGTCTTGTATTCAGAGGGCCCCACGCAAGTGATTTCACTGTGGCATTGCATATGTGATTGCCACCAGCAAGAAGGGCCTCGGTTTATTTTCACACTTCCGTGAAAACTGACTCTGATTACAAAGCGTGGGCTGGCAGCTTGGTGTCGGAGGGAGCTGTCAGCGTTTGCACCGGAACGTCTGTTGTTATGGCCCCAGGCACTATGATGGGTGACTAAGTGCAAAACTCTTTTACTTAAAGTCTGTTTATTCCTGAAGAATGTTTGGCCCAGTTGTTGACCGAGTTCATTGCGTTTTCAAGCTACCAAAGTTCTGGGGCCATGACCCACTTGGCCCTTCGCCAGCCGCCAGAACCAGCGAGAACAGTGATCTTGTGTGTAGGCGGCTTGGCCCTGGGCTGTTCTTCCCAAGTGCCTACTTTAACTCTCCGATCACAGCTTGACTTGGGTCCTTCGACTCTTAGTTCTGGATGCCCCGGCTAAGGTTTGGTCTCAGATCTCTAAAGCCTGCTAGTGATGCATCCGATGAAGTGAGTTTTAGCCCATGAAAGCTTATGCCCAAATAAATTTGTTAGTCTCTAAGGTGCCACAAGTTCTCCTGTTCTTTTTGCAGATACAGACTAACACGGCTGCTACTCTGAAACCTGCTAGTGAGCAGTTCACTGTCCAACAGCCTAGACCCCTGCTACTGAAAATCACCAGTATCGCGGCAAGCAGCTGTGAGTAACTGGAGTTCTGGCCTCGATCTGACCATGAGGAAGGAGGAGGCCCTCCCCGGGGCTCTTCCTGCCAGAGACTGGAGTTATCTTTTGATGTAACCAGAAGGATCATTCCCATTTTTACTGACACCAGACTCTGGGCCATTTGCTGAAGAGCTTTTGTCTCTGAGCTATCTTAGCAGCCCTCCTTTTCACTCGACTAGGACACACTTGCCAGTCAGTTGTGTATAAAGGCTGTGCTTTCACTCGCTGGTAGATTCACTGGCTTAGTTATTTCATTGTGGATCTTTGTTTGATTTGAGGCAAAACTTGGCGGTGGCTGACAGGCTCCAGTGGTGTCTGGCGGCTACGACTGCAGGATGAAAGATCGTTTCCTGTCCCCGCTGGGTGCTGGGGCTCTGGAGAGGCTGAGGAGCGGTGTCCCCTGGAGCGCTGGGAGCTGACTGGGGACATTCCTCTCTTGCCTGTGTTCCGCCAGGAGAGCGAGGCTCCTTTCCCTGGTGGCTGTCCTCTGCAGAGGTGGGAAGAATTGGGCTCTGTTACCACCAGAAAGTCCTGTTTGTTGTTCAAAGGTGTCAGCACAAGGCAAATGCCAAGAAAACAATCCCTCTCTGCTGCCTTTGGAAGCTCTATTCACACTAAGGGGCTGTAGATCAGGTCACTGCACATGCTCATTGGATCTCTCTAGCCCTCGAAATGGTGCAGCTCACCAGGGGAGTAGAATCCAGGGCTCGCTGTAGGGAATGGCTCTCGATCGGTTCCAAGCCAGTGCTGACTGACAAAAGCGGTGCGTACCTGGCTGGGCCGGGTGAGCCTGTCTCATGGCCCTTCCTCTCCCTGCTGTAGGTCACTGTGAGGCTGCCAGGAGCCCTTGTTTAGGTGGAGGTGTTTTCTGCCCCCAGTCGGATCCAGGATTGTGAGTCGGGGCAACCCTTAACCAAGGGGATTGCAGCGCTCGTAGGGCTAAGAGAACCACCGCAGCCTTCCTGGGCAAAGACCTCTTGTTGTAGGGCAGCCCCAGCTCCTATAGGAATAGCATCCTCCTGCCAATGTCTCCTCAGACCAGCTAGCAAACTCCATCTCCTGCCCCGGCTCCGTTCTGTAGAGCCCAGGGAGAGGCTGCCAGAGGAGCCGAGCGTGTGCAGCTCCCACTGACCTGACCTGGAGCTGTGGGTGCTCAGCCCCTCTGACAGTCAGCCCCCAAGTCCACCCTGATTCCAGGGAGGCAGTTGGTGGGAGATTCCCTCCGGAGAGCCTGGCCAGTCTGCTTACCGACCCAGGGCTGAGGGGAAACGGTGCCTTCCCGGAGGGAGATGCTATTCCTGCCTCTGGAGAGACTTGCCCGAGGATCAGAACTGGCCAGTAATGGCCACTGGACAGGGGGGTTGTGACTCCGTAACCTAGGCAGGGCAGCTACCTGCTGAACCATGTCTGCCTCTGACAGCACAAGGTCTTTGTCCTTCACTTTGGCAGCACTTGTACAGCCGCTCCTGCCAATAAAGTATTGTTGAGTTGAGTAGAAATCCACCTTAAACCAGTCCCTTGGAAAGTCCTACACCAGCCGCCTTGTTTCCTATGTCCCCTTGGAGCGAAACAAGAAAACTCCTCCCCAAGGCGAAGTACCTGCCGATCTCCCCAAGGCGAAGTACCTGTCGAGGTGAAACCGCTGGCACCAACTCCACTTCAGGAGCCTCTTCTGGGGCTTTTACTGCATGAGAGATGCTGGTTTATGGCCACTGAAGGGCCATTTCTCAGCAGAGTCCATGGGGGATGGCAGCATTATGGACTGTGATGAAGCAAGGAGCCAACTCGTTAACCATGTGCTGCCAGAGGGGAAGGCCCCAATAACCTCCCTTGTAGGGTGACCATGTTTTCCCAAAGGGAAAACGGGACACTGCACGGGACCGGCCCCCTCTCCCCTCCATGCGTGGGGCCGGCCTGGGCCTGAGCCCTCCCTGCTGCCCGCCCACCTGGGGCTGACCCGGCCCGAGCCGCTCTCTTGAGCCCTCCCTCCCGTGTGGGGCTGGCATTGCTGCTCTCCTGCCCCGTTGGGGGGTCACACCCCACTTTTTTGGCAAAACTGGGCATTTGTCCAGTTTGCTCTTGCCAACTGATCATCAGGCAGCAAGAGCAAACAGGACAAATGCCCAGTTTTGTCAAAAAAGTCGGGACGGCTGGGACAAGGCTTAAAACAGGGACTGTCCCGGCCAAACTGGGACATGTGGTAATCCTACCCCATTGATTCTTACTCATGTCACACCTTGGTGTGTGTGTAGTTTGGGGTGTTGCAGCCCCAGGCTAAGGCCAGAGCCAGCAGGAATTCACAGCCACTGTTGGTATTTGCTGAGCACTGGAGTTAATCTTTGAAGCCCCAGAGTTCAGCAAGGTCATTTGAATAATTTAATACTGGACTGTGACCCAGCTCGGGAAAAGAAACAAAGAGGCCCCAGAACAACAATAGAGCACTCGAAACTACAGGCTGAGGCATGTCCTCCCTGCCTCAGGCACAACAGCCAGAGCTAACAGGCCATTCCATTCCTCAAGTCTGTGCTTTGTTTCCCCGCACAAGCTCATGCCACCCCTAGTGAAAGCTCCCGCTTAGCCTATCAGCGGCTTGTTTGCTTGTGCGTAGTCCTGTGTGTAGAGTACATATCCCAGCCAAGGGCAAGGAGCCCCACATCCACAGGCACTGAAGTGCATGTACCCCTTTCGTGTGCGCCCCCTACTCTCAGCTCACTTCCAAAGCCAGAGCACTTTCCACGGGGCCACCGCCATGGAGTGCGTAGAGGAAGAGAGATGGGCCCTGTCCTGGTGAAGAGGACAGCTCAGCCACGGGACTATTCCAGAGTGGCAGTGTCCCTCGGCTATCCCTGGTGAGCGGAGGATGGACAGAAAAAATGACATGTTCAGGAGATGATGCTGGAAAGGGCAAGGCTGCTGAGGCACCCGATTTCCCTCCTGTTCGCTCCAGCTTGAGGTGGATCTTGTGCAGGGTTCACATTCCTGAAGAAAAGCTGAAGGCCCATCACTTGGCGTAGTGACTCAGAGGCAGCGGGAATGGGAAGGGGCATGAAACTCCGCACTATGTAGTTTCTGTAGCTCTCCTAAGCATGTCCCGGGAGTGAAGTGGCCTCCATAATCCGATCTCCCTGTGTGAACACCAGGAAGAGGGAGGGACTCAAGAAGTAGAAAATCCCTACGGAGCTGGTGAAATTCCAGGCAGCTTTGTTCCAGTCTCAGCTGAAAGTTGGGGAGAGAGAGAGAGTTTGCAGTAGGGTTGTGATGGGCTGTTGGGGGCACTGGGTGTAGGAGAACTGCCTGTCTGTCTGGGAGTGGTATGTCAGGGTAGCTGAGGAGGTTATAAGTACAGGAGCTGCTCTGGTGGTGCTTGGAGTGAGGTCATGTATTGCCCATGTTGAAGAGGTATTTCTAGTTACGACCTATGTGCCTAGAGGCATTTGGGCCTGAGGGAGCCAGAGACACAATATCCGATACTGATCAGGCTCTGAAATGGGGTGATTAACCCCCATGGCAGGGACAGGGACTCCTCACTCCAGGCTGTCCCGTCTCTCCAGCCAGCTCCTTCTGATGACTTTGTGTTCCCACTAGCTAATGAGTCAGAAACGCTCTCTGCAGCGGGCTTAGAGGCTGAGTAGTTTTAAACATCAAAGTGCAATAAATAGAAATAATGACTCTGTAGCCTGGTAGCGCCTTTCATCTGAGAGTCCCCGCAGGCCTCCATTCATGGAGCTGCACGTACTGCTGTGAGCTAGCGAAGTTCTGTCCCCATTCGCCACATGGACACTGACACCGCGCAGTTAGAGCCCCATCCGTGTTGGCCTCCCCCCAGTTTGAAAGATGTGTACAGAGATGGTTTAAGTGGAGTTATGGCTGGAGGAGCATGTTCTACCCTGTTCTGGCTGGCCTGGGGGGATGGGACCAGCTTTCAAAGCCAGGCCCCAGCCTAGACCACAACTCCAGTGCCAACTGAACAACATGTGTCCAGTGTGTGTGTAGACAGGCCCCTAACTGTGTTCCCAAAGCGAGCTAAAGCTTGGACATGGCTAAGGCCTTAACTGTATTCTTTCTGTAAGCAAAAGGGCTAAGAGCCATCTCTGCTATAGGAGGGCTTAGGGGATAATCCCATTGTATCTGGCTTCCCTGACACTGGCAGAACGGTAATGCAAGGTCATGCTGTGACTCAGTGGCAGAACCAGGAAGGGAATGCAGAGCTCCCCTGGGACCTGCTCCCTGCCTGAAGAGTTTTATGGCTACTAGAAAGCCGAGTGGGAAGAATAGTTACCCACATGCCATGGGCCATGTACCCAGCATGCCAGACTGGGTGGGACATCATTGGGGGCCAATCAACAAGCTCCAGATGTGCCCAGTGTTCTAATGGTATTTCCCAGCCTGCTCTCATAAGGCCACCCGTGGTTAATCTCTCACGTGTAGCGTTTCCAGGAGCTCTGGGAAAGTGAGGGAGCAAATTCCTGCTGGTTAAAGTTTAGCCCACTCTGCAACCAGCTCCCTGCCTTTACAAAGCCTGTTTGTTAACCTTTCCTGCCTATCTTAGGAAAGGACTGGTCTCCAGCCGCACACGATCAGCCAGGGCTGTTAAGGGCCTGCGGTTCCAGTCGGGTTGGTGCCCAGTCTGCTGGAGAGGAATCCCAGTGCACTCCTGGCATGCACTGGCAGAGACCCCCCTTTTAAATTTGGAGGCCCCCATTCGTTTCACCCATTTGTCATATATCCAGGTGCTTGACAGCAGGTAGGGCAAGACCATGCATGTGGCAGATTAAGCTGCTAGCACAGAGCTTGATTCCCTGGGATATCACCCACATCCCCCTGGGCTGTGTATGGGGGTCTACAGCCTGCACCCCACAAGTTTTGTGCCTGCCTTGGTTCTAGCAAATGCAGGGGGGCTGGGTTTTGCTCCCAGCAGGCAGACCCTGGCAGATTCTTAGTTTTAACAAGACTTTTTGGGGAGAAGAACACGAGCAGCAAGCGTCACGATGGGGATTTACCTCAGGAATCCCTCCCGTGTTCCATTTGCTATTGGAAAACTAAACCCAAAAGTTACCATAGCAACTGCTACCCTCAATGGGACAAGGACTAGAGCATGGGCTGGTTAGACTCCAGACACCTGCTCCTCACCCTGTCAGCCGGTGGGCAGCAAACGGTGGTTGGACCTGTTCTGCCAGCCTCCGGGGAAAGGGACAAATATGCCTACATGCTGCTTTGGTTTCTGAGAGCACCAAGTGGAGGCTGGAGGGTGGTAATTTTAGTCTGGCTCTGCTCATTGTCTTATCCCCCCTCCAAACTCTTTGAGAAAAAGGTGAGACGCTGGGCAGGAAGGCTATTGCCTGCTGGGCATAGCTGGCCATGCAGTCCGAGCAGGGCCCCCCAAGGGTACTGCCCAGGGGAAGAGGGGCTAAGCTGTGAGTCTTGAGGATTTGCATGGAGAGTGATGGAGAGAAATTGGAAAACAGGGAACAGGATTTTTCTTTGCCCTCATCAGCACTGGGGCAAATGTCCTTTGGTGGGGGTGGATGTATAGATCTCAGGAGCACACAAAACAGTTGTTTGAGATTAGCCACAGGGGTCACTGCAGAACTTTGTGCTCTCTGTAGCCTAGGGAGCCACACAGCACCGTATTCGCCTGAAAAGGATTGTCTAGTGCAGGGGGTCTCAAACTTCATTGCACTGCAACCCCCTTCTGACAACAAAAATTACTACATGACCCCAGGAAGGGGGGGGACTGAAGCCTGAGCCCCATAGCCCTGGGGGGGGGGGGGCAAAGCCCAAGGGCTTCAGCCCCAGGCAGGGGGCCTGTAACCTAGTCCTGCCGCTCAGGGTTGAAGCCCTTTGGCTCTGGGCCCCAGCAACTCTTAGGCAATCCTGGTGACCCCATTAAAATGGGGTCCCGACCCACAGTTTGAGAACTGCTGTGGGTAGTCTCACCTTGCTCCAGATGTGTAAGGTTTAATAACTTGTGCAGGCAACAGGTGTGCTCGCTAGATGGCGCCCTTCTCCCCTGACTGTAGCCATGTGCCGCAGATCAGGGTTTGGGTGGCTGTGCGGAGCCGGGAGAGGAAACTGGAGTGTGGTTAGCCTGGTCCTGGGAGTGATTCAATGCGGAGAAAGAAAAGGGCTAGTCAGGGAGAAACAACCCAGGGAAGTAATCGCCCCCCCCGGTGCTGAGCCAGTGACTGCTGGGCCACCACACCCACTAGTCACTGGGAAGCCCAGTCAGACCAGAGCCAATGCCTCCTCCAGGCACAGGTAAGTAAACAGCCCCAGCGGGGGACACTGAGGCACAGGGTGTCAGTGACTCAACCAAGGACACCCCCAGTGAACACGTGGCAGAGCCAAGACTAGCACAGAACCGGCTCCCCTGCCGGCCAGGCCTGGGCTGCCGCCCCGGAAGGGAGCCAGGGGCGCTCTGGCCCCCGGGGGCAGGGGGTGTCCCTGGCCTGGCTCCGGACTCGGACCCTCTGCCAGCCGAACGGGGGCTGTGAAACCCGCCCCCGGAGCGACCCCGCCCTGCCCCCGACGCCTGGTGGAAGAAGATGCGGTGACCTGGCTGCGGGGCCGGGCCGGGAGCAGCCGCTGCGGCGTTCCCCCCGGGGCCGGGCCGGGAAGGCCCCTGAGCCGCTGCCCCGGTGCCGCCCCCGAGGCGGAGGGCGGGCGCTAGGACCGCGCGGAGCCCGGGCCCGCCCTGGGCGGAGCCGCCCGCTGGACCCTGAGCCGCCGAGCGGCGCGGCGCGGCCCCAGTCGGTGCCCGGGAGGCGCGGGGGAGCGGCGCCGGCCCGGCCCCACCATGCCCGGCTTCGACTACAAGTTCCTGGAGAAGCCGAAGCGGCGGCTGCTGTGCCCGCTGTGCGGCAAGGCCATGCGGGAGCCCGTGCAGGTCTCCACCTGCGGCCACCGCTTCTGCGACACCTGCCTGCAGGAGTTCCTCAGGTGCGGGCTCGGGCGGGCTCCGGCGGGCTCGGCCCGGGGCGGGAGGGGGCAAAGTCCCGCCGCCGCGCGCCGGCCCTGGCGAGCCCCCGGCCCGCCCGCCTCGAGCCCGGGCTCGCCGCCGGGGCTCGCGGGACCTTTGGCCGCCCCGGGGGGCAGCGGGGGGGGTTGTGATGTCAGAAGTCCCTTTGTGACGTCAGGCGGGGGGAGCCCCGCGTAGCGCCCCGGCCACCTCCGGGGTCGCGGCTCTCGCTGCCCCGGGGCAGGTGCGGGCGGCTGGGACCGGGCGGGGCTCGCTGCTCCCCGGGAGCCGGGCTGGCGGCCCGGGGCTGTTTGTTCCGCTGCGGCTGGTGCCAGCCTGGCCCCGCGCCCCGCCCGGCCCCGCTCCGCCCGCGGGCCGCCCGGTGCTTTGCCGCCCGGGACCCCCGGGCAGAGCCGCCCGGCCCTGGGCTGCTCGCGGCTACCGGGCCCGGGCGCGGCGCGCTGGGGGAGGTGGGGCCGAAACTCGCTGCTTTCGTGACGCGCCAGGGGCAGGGGCAGGTGCGGAGCCGTCGCCGGAGGAGCCGCGGTGCCCGGCG